TTTGTAGTTTGTACTAAATAAATAAATAAATAACTATGATTCTTGGGGTCAGCTAGACGATGCTGGGAGAAAAGGTTGGGTAGACGAGACTAACACACATGACCTAAAAAGTGTTAGCTGAATGTTGTATTGGTTCAGGTTTGGCTTTTGCTAATAGATAAGGTGTAGTACACAGATACCCTATAAAGATATACAACTATTACGTACCCATAATAGCTAAACATTAAAAATTAAAAATAGAAGATATAGTAGAAGAAACATAGACTTAGGAGTCAAAGAGGTTTGAATTGGATTCTAGATCTTGCCATTTTTCGCTGCTCCAAGACTCCATTTCCTCCTCTATAAAAACGAGAACTTGTGGTGGCTGTGAAGAAGAAATGAGACGATATGGGCAAAAGAGCACGGCACGTACAAGACCCTCAACCTTCATCTCCCCTTCTTCTGTAGAAGCACTGCTCTTTTCGGTTTTGATTTTCTTTTTTTTTTTTTTGACAGAGTCTCACTCTGTTGCCCGGGCTAGAGTGAGTGCCGTGGCGTCAGCCTAGCTCACAGCAACCTCAAACTCCTGGGTTCAAGCGATCCTCCTGCCTCAGCCTCCCGAGTAGCTGGGACTACAGGCATGCGCCACCATGCCCAGCTAATTTTTTCTATTTTTAGTTGTTTTGGCCAATTTCTTTCTATTTTTAGTAGAGACAGGGTCTCGCTCTTGCTCAGGCTGGTCTTGAACTCCTGAGCTCAAACAATCCGCCTGCCTCGGCCTCCCAGAGTGCTAGGATTACACACGTGAGCCACCGCGCCCGGCCTTGATTTTCTTTAAATGAGTTGCAGAACAAGATTGCGAACTATATTTATACAAACTTGTACTTTATCTAATGACTGTCTCCCCACCAACCTAAAAGTAATGAAAGTATAATTCAATGCATTCATTTTCTCACTTAGCAAACATAATGATTATTCCTCATTGCTAAACATATAGTAAGGGCCAGGTTTGGAGTTTGAACAAAACAGGGCAGATCTCTGCTGCCAGAGTTTACTAAGCTACATTCAGGGAATACACTCTGTAAGAGGTCTTTGTGCCTATGGAATGCAAAAACTATTACTAATACATTTTATTCAGTCAATAGGACATCAAAAACTGCTTGTTAAACGCACGATGCTAAGTTCTGTAGTATCACCGCCAAACACCTGTTTCTAATTTTTAATATATGGAAATGCCGCAGTGAAATGTATCACAAAATTCCTGAAACTACAGGCAAACCAGAGTAGAAATCACCATGACCTTTTCCTCTGATGTACCATCAAATATTTTAGGAGAGTGAAATAAAACAGATGAATTTTGCTTTACATCAAAGCAAAAAGATTTGAATAGATGAGACTCTTCACATTGATTCTGCAAACAGCTAGAATTTGAAATTTCCCACTATTCATGGATGCTTTAGCACTGTTTTATAGTGTTCCCAGGATCCCATACAGAATGTTGAACGGTCTGGATACTAAATAAGCACAGTCGGATTTTGAAGTGTTTAACACATGTATTTTATTAGAATGATATTTTGAACACTGCGATATGGGATTTTAGTCTCTCAATGCATACGTTGGAAAACAACGGTCAAAGCAGCAATTACATCCACTCTTACAGGAGTCGCTGTACACCCAAGCAGTACTTTGGTAAACTATAAAACAAATGTACACAAGAGCACTTCGGTAGAAATTAAATTAATCTGGGAAACACCAAGCTGCTAAATTCTGTACTGGAATCCAGTTCAGATGAGTGGTTCATGGAGGCAAGAAGAATTCTACGATTTCACAGCCCAGAACACTAAGTTTGACCATTTCAACTGTCTAATAACCAATGGGACCTGCCAGAGAGGCCACTGGTCTCATCCCAGATGCCAACAGCAACAAGCAGGCCGTCACCGTTTGGCTTGGTTACTTTGTCAAGACATCACTATTATTTCTGCTTAAGCTGTCCGTAAGTGAATCTAACGAATACAATAAAATGTCACCCAACCAAAATCTCATGTCACTTTTGACAGGCATGGCTGTACGGGAACCACGGAGGTGCTTAAAAAAACCCCAGAAATTCATGTTTGTGTTGAACTGTTCAACGCTAAATTTTAACTTCCCCCCGCCTCAAAGCATTTTCTTACTATCATATTTCCATGAAATTAAAGCTATATCCATTCTTAGAAAGGACACTAAATGTCCTGTTTGATATTGATGAGTTAGCTTAGGCTCAGGCATTCTTTGCCAAGAGGCTAAAAAAAGAAAGAATCAAATTTCACACAAAAAAAATTCTATCTTTTAAATGATGTGCTAATAATTGAAGTCATTGTTTTTTAAATGCAGGGATATGGGGAAAGTTCACATCATTGAGTATAAAGAATCAAAAGCCATCCCTTCAAAATGGATTTTTTTTCCCCAGAAAAATGCACAAGATTTGAAGTACTTAAGAAACACAAAGATCTGTAACAAACAAACAGTTGACGGCCAGCAGGACTGTCCTGTTTACTTTTGAATATATAAAGTACTTAAGCACTTATGGAAAATGACAATGATTTTAAGATATTTCACCAAATAAATGGTGGCGAGTAGTTCGGCAAAATGTTAGAAAGATGATTTATATACTACACATAAATGAAAGGCAAAGATAAATACAACTGATATGTCTTATTACATTAATATAATTTACACTGTACCTATACACACAGCAAATTCACAGTTATAACTAAAAAACTATATTTAGAACAGTCCTTTTTTTTTACTACTATTTGCATAATTTCCAGTAATAGACTTAGAAGCCTAACACACGTACGCTTATCTTTTGTGGATTACAATAATCTACATTTTAAATTATGCTTCAATTTTGTGGCTTGAATGACGTAAACACCAGTGCTGTATATTTTTTGCTTAGTCAAAGTTAACTGGCTTAGGGTTTTCAAAACTCTTCTAGGTGAAGCAGTCAATCCACCCCAGATCACCACCCTACAAATTCCTCTTTGTCACACCTGGCCATCTACCTCCATCCACCAATGAGCCTCAGGCCTTGGAACTTGACAACCTCACTCCCAACCTCAGTTTGAAAGTCAAAGAGGGAGGAAGAGTAATGTGAAGAATTCAAAACAAAAATGAAACCTGCATCTTTTGACTGTCATTTTTGTGCTTTCCTTTGCCTGTTAGTTGGGAAATTCTCCAAGCTCCTAAACGTACCTTTCACATTTCTGTTCTAAGACCTGACTCAGAGCAAGACAGTTGCCGGCTTTACTAGTCTCCCTTCAGTTCCTCACCTCTCAGACAACGAACAGAAGACAATCACCTTTCCTGTGAGGTCCTTCTTTCATCTAACTTCCGTGGGGGAAAAAACCAGAAGTATTTATTTAGCACTTTTTTTCAAAGGACAGTTCCTGACGAATATAAGCAGGACAACTGAAGATTTATTTTCTTCCATTCCCAAAAAAGGTGAGAAGACGTGAATATTTATATTGGGCCCTTTTCCTTCTAATAAATCTTTAAAGCTTAAAGAAGAAAAAAGTCAACTCTGAAAACTGAGAGTTGAAGGTGTATTCTACATCAACTTTTTCTTTTTGGTTTCTTTTTCTTCTTTTCTACCACAAAATTCCATGTCATTCTTAACATTTAGGATTTTTCTCACATCCTATTATTTTATACACAAATTGTCACATAGCAATGCAGTTTCACCGTCCTGGCTCTGTTCCTAGGTTTTCCAGATAAACTACCCACCATAAAACATCTCCTAGAGCCATTTTTAATGTATTTCCTCATCCGCCCATAACCATTGGTTCTCCACTATCGGAAAACTGCCCTCAGTATGTCAAAACGTCCTTAGGGAATCAATGTATCAATAACTTAAAGCTAACTGGTGAAGGAGCTATGCAAGATTGTTCCCTTTAATTTTATATTACTCCAAAATTTACATAGGTACACACACCCACACATAAAACAAATTTACATAGCTTGCAGAAATAAACTGCAGATACAATTCCAAACACCCATTTAGAGATTCACATTTTAACAGAAAACTTCCATGCAGGTAAAAAGAAGTATAGTTTTATACTCCTACATTACACAGCAAGCTGAAATACAGAATGTTTTAATGTTTGTTTCGGATGCATTCTAAGTCTTGGGAATGAGCAAAAAACGAGACATAAACCTCAAGCTATGTGCATTATGGCAGTATCAAGTCAAAGTGGCATTATTTTTACCAGCAAATTCTTTCACTTGTTTACTCTATACACAACTGTGCTATACACACACTATATACAAACACAAAACATAGAGATAACAAATGAAAACTTTATACAAAATACTGGATACCATCAATATTTAACTTTGTATCAATTTGGCCAAAAAACCCATAGCCTGTGCTTTCTTTTCTGATATTAACACATTCATTGACTGCCGCACTAGAAAAAAAATTTTTTTTTCCTTGGGGCCACGGTGTTTTATTATGAAAATAGAATAAAAACTTCAAAAACAAAATGATCCTTTCTAACTTAATGAAAAATTTGTTATCCTTTATTGTTTTCTGTGCGTGATTTATGTGCAATTAAATTGTCAATATTAATTGTAATAATAACAGCAGCAACAAGTAAGATTTTTACGAACCAGATGCAGGGTTTTGCCCAGGGGGCCACCCATCACGTGACATGTATGCTACAGCATGGGCACGTGAGTTGCCTACGCACCACACGGCTCCCACGGTAAAGAGATGTGTGAGTTACATATGCTTCACGAGGCCCTGGGCTCAAAACTAGCGTGAGTTAAATACAACTCACATGGCAGTAATATATTAAGGAATAATCACATCTATATAGCATTCTTAACTGCAGAAAAATAGCAATGCATAGGGCTGGGGGTTGGTAATGCAGGTGAAATACACAAGTGTGCTGTTTATAAATGTGTATACAATTTAGCAATGTCATATTATTTGAATTAATTTATTTTGCGTGGTTACAGTTACCAATAAGTTGTCCAGAATACAAAATACATACGGTACCAGAGAGCTCAGTTTTCACTTACTTCTTGGTACAATTATTAAAAATAAAAACGTGCATCCTAGGCATAGGGAAGTCTGGAAAAAATAAAAAAATAAAAATAAAAACTTGCAGATAACACATGGAAAAGCTGTCCAAATTCAAGCTATTTTGAAGAACGTGTTCAAATGAATAAAGCACAAAAATGACAAAAAGAAACCTAGAGCTGCCTAAGAGTCTTAAAAATCAGAAATTTAATACTCTCTCCAAGTGTATCAAAACCACTTCTTACTTGCTCACTCAGCTTAGACACTCACAATAGCTTAATTCTATATATATTTATACTGAGAATATACAGTTGAACATAAATATGAGGAGTAGTTATGAAAAAACTACTATGCAAGTGGTCATTAAGCTTACACTGACTTGTGCATTCATCTAGTGAATCACAGGGTTACACGGGTAACAGGCGACTTTTTTTTATCTGATCAGTTTCTTGACATGCTCGGTGAAAAACTGTGGCACAGAAACTCCCAAATCCCAGCCAGCGATCAGGCCCATCGTCCACTGGAGGCAAAGCTCCTGCTGAATGAGAAGTTGATTTCAGAGTTCTTATATTTTCCCCAGGCACCGAAAGGCACGACCACCGCGGTACTGTTATCTTCAGTGCCGTACTGTATCGCCTGCAAGGTTTGGCAACGGGAAGAGAAAAACGTTGGCAATCAGAGTCTGTACAAAGAGCAATCACCCTTCCCCTGGAAAACCAAACTGATTTTACATTCAAGTTATTAACCTAGTTATTTCACAATAGTTTGTGATTCTAGCACCCCGTGTCAATGTCCACGAGGTTTACTGCCTGGCATGCACACGAAATAAAAGATGACCCCAAACAACCATAGTGACTATACTCCGCTGGAGCAATTTTAGCAGCAAAAACACCAGTGCTGAGGCGCAGCGAGTGTGTGCCGCTGCTGAAGACGAAGACATACCTATAAAGCATTTAGCACAGGGGCTAAGACGTGGTAAGGGCTTGGTAAGTGTTAGCTCGTACCAGCCATTCTGCTTCTAGGACTTTAACCTAAAGGAATAAAAACTCTGGAAATGGACATGCTTCAACATACAACTAGAGGAATACTTATGCTTCTTACAAAACGGACAAGTGGGCGTAAACTAAATTTCCTGCAGTAGGAGAATTGTAAATCAACTGTAAGAATTTCTCCTTTGTTCCTGCTCCACTTGACCAGCCTTACAAAAAAAAAAAAAAAATTTGTTCAAAGAGCAGATGACAGAGTCAGCATTTTCAGAAGTGCTTGAGATCATACTTAGCATCCAATGTATTTCAAAAGACTTCACAGCCTGAGGCCCAGCTGCGAAGGTAAAGGTTGATTGGAAATATCTGATGTAAAAAACTCTAGTACATGAGAAAATTTTACAAACAACTTGAAAGGCAAAAAACCCAAAGTATAATAAGACAAGAAATACAAATGGCTAATAAACCTATGCAAATGGCTAACTCCACTAAAAAAAAAAAAAAAAGATGCAAATTTCAACAATAAAATTTGATTTTTCCATCTATCAAAATTGGCAAAGAAAAATACTTAGGATAAGAATTTGGAGAAACACAAACTATAGAATGTGCATGGTTGGATTCACACTTACAATCCCAGCACTTTGGTCTCCAACTCCTGACCTCAAGCAATCCTCCCGCCTCAGCCTCCCAGAGTGCTGGGATTACAGGTGTGAGCCACCATGCCCGCAATCCCAGCATTTTGGGAGGTGGAGGTAGGAGGATCACTTGAGGCCAGGAGTTTAAGACTAGCATGGACAACATAGCAAGACCCCCTTCTCTACAAAAAAAATTAAAAGAAGAAATTAGCCAGGCGTGGTGGTGAGCACCTGTAGCCCTAGCTACTTGGGAGCCTGAGGCAGGAGAATGGCTCAAGCCCAGAAGTTTGAGGTTGCTGTGAACTATGATCACACTACTGCACTCCGGTTGGGTGACAGAGCAAGACCCTGTCTCAACAAACGAACAAACAAAAAGAACAAGCTAGTTAAACTGTAAATTGGTATATTATTTCTGGAAGAAAATTTGGCAAACTTGTTAAAAGCCCTAGAACACGGTGTATCCTTTTATGTGGAATTTAACCTAAGAAAATAATACCTGAAGGAAACAGATTTGCTCGAACAGATATAAGAATGTTTATTATAGTGAACATAAACTAAATTTGCTGACTACAGGAATTCTTAAATGAACTGGGGTACACAAATAAGATGAATACTAAGTAGTCATTACAAATATCATTGCTTTCGTGAACCGGAACACACTAATCTATAAGACAGAGAGTGGAAATCAGGAAGGACGTGTTCGTCCATGGCATTGGGCCCATTTCCTGGCTTTCATGAGTGCCTGTTCAGCACTGGATAAAGTAGTAACCAAGCGAGTAATTCAAGCATCATGACTACACTTGCCCACCTATTTGCAAGCAAATAATACTTTTAAAGTAAGGTCTGTTGTCTTAATTTGGGAAATGCAAAGGTAGTTGTTGAATTAAAGCATCCCTCTGATGAGCAATGATGGCTACAACTTAAAACAGTTAAGCAAAAGAGAATATTAACCAGCACAAAGCAAATTTTACATTTTCTTTACTGGTTATTATCCAGCTTTCAAATTTTAGCTCTAAGTGACCCATGACCTCATCCATATGCCTTTTTGGTGGTTGTTTTGGTTTCTTTTTCACATACCCATTTTTCATAACCAGAAGATGACTAGGGGCCAGGTGCGGTGGCTCACGCCTATAATCCTCCGCCCAGAGGCCGAGGCGGGTGGATCGCTCAAGGTCAGGAGTTCGAGACCAACCTGAGCAAGAGCGAGACCCTGTCTCTACTAAAAATAGAAAGAAATGATCTGGACAACTAAAAACATATATATAGAAAAAATTAGCTGGGCATGGTGGCGCATGCCTGTAGTCCCAGCTACCTGGGAGGCTGAGGCAGGAGGATCCCTTGAGCCCAGGAGTTTGAGGTTGCTGTGAGCTAGGCTGGCGCCACGGCACTCTAGCCTAGGCAACGGAGTGAGACTCTGTCTCAAAAAAAAAAAAAAGAAGATGACTAGGTTATAGTGTCCTTCAAACTGAATATTTACTCAGAATAGTCTGGTTTAATGGTCAAGTGGTTGGACTTGGGAAGCTGCCCATCTGAGTCTGAAGTCTAGTTCTGCAACTTAATAATTTTCTGACCTTCAGTGAGTTACTTAACTTTGTGGCCTCTGGACCATTTTTCCTCATCTCTGAAAACGGACAATAATAGCTCCAACCTCATCAGATTATTGTGATGATGACCTGAGGTAATATTTATGAAGAGCGTCTGATACATAGTAAGGGATATATTAGTTTATTATGATAATTTACTACTGCTGTTGCTATCATTTCAAGGCGTGTACAAAGTAAAAAAATACATAGCACATTTCCTTGGCATATTCATTTTACTAACTACTTGAGGGGATTGTAAACATCTTCTAATTGGAAACATCATGGACTCGAGTGTAAAATTCACTGTAGCACTCAAGCTAAATCACAAGACTTCAAAGAAATGTCGAGCTCGTGGTAGCCACTCCAGGCTCTGCCAAAGCTACGTGCTTAGGCTCGTCCTTTACTCTCCTCCCTGCTTGAGACTTTTCTAGCAGAAGTTCTGCTGGGTCACCTGTTCAGTCACCACGTGGGCTGCTTCGTTGGGATCGTGGCACTGATTGACAAAGTCACAAATCTCTTGACTGTTCACCATGAAGTTGATTCCATCTGTGGTGAGGACCAGGAAGCTGTCATCGGCATGGTGGAGCTGCAATCGCAACCAAACGTACGTGATCATAAACTGGACTCTACCTTAGAATAATCTTGCTAATTCAAAGACTTTATCTGTTTCGCTGAATGGTCATCCGTGCAAGAACTTGCAGGCGAACGATGAAAATGTAAAGTCTATGTGATATGGAGGGCAAAAGTAGCAACATTTAGTACTAAGCACCAAGGATAAACCTAACGCTTCTCTAGTAACGCCCCAGAGGAAGAAGCCAGAGAGCTGAATGCCGAGAGGTAGCACGATGTAATAGTTCAGAGTGCTCTCTCTGGAGCCAGGCTTCTAGCGTTTGAATCTTGCCTCTGTTATCTGGCTGCGTGAGCAAAGGTAAGTTGACCTCTGTATGCGTTAGATTTGCTTTCCTTGTAAAATGGGGATGGTAGCACCTATTTCAAACAGAGCTTGGCACACAGTAAACCCCGCGTAAGTATTTGTTAGATAAAATGAATATAAGTGGGCTATATATAGGACATGAAACCCCTCATGCAATTAATTACCAAAGGTTTGCTGCCAGTACTGGAAGTCTACACTGTGCTATACAAGGTACTACAGTTGACTTGGAGGTTTCAGAGATAGAAGGGCAGCTCAAAGACAGGGTGTGTGTTGGGGCAGTTTAGAGCAAGGGGGACACCGATTAGTAGCATGCAAAGGATGCCACAGAAATAGAGTTGGGCGATTATTTGGCTCTTGGTGGATAAGGGAAGTCAGGGGCGGCTTCCAATCAGAGGTGACACTGGATGATAGCGAGCAGGCGAGGTGACAGCAGAGCCATTCCACCAGGAGAATTCCACAGCTGGGGCGAAACAAACACCAAACACTTCTTCAAACGTTAGGCCAGAAAAGTAGCATGTTATTTTCTCTAAAAAGCTTATTTATCCTTTTATAAGTTACTCCCTGTTAAAAATCATTTTGGCCTTAGTTAAGGCTTGCAAGAAAGCCTGCAGCTGGAGATAAGCCTAAATTCACTCTCTGCATGTGGATCTAGTGTTCGCAGGTCCGCTCTTACCTTAATCCTCTTTGTTTCGGGCTCTGCTATCACACCGCTGGTTTTAAGGTCCAAATCTCCAATGCTCCTTGTCATCGCAAGCCTGCCATTCACGTGAGGCTGCCCCACGCTATTCCAAGCTATAAAGCCACCGCATTTCCTGATCCTGGTCAAGAATAAAATTAAAAGACAATGACGTGATATGCAGGAAACCAAGTCACTGTTAAACTTAAGCACGGCATCTATTTAAAATGCAAAATTTCATTTCTATCGCGAACTAAAAATAAAAACATCATCCCCATAGAGTGATGTCTCAGTGGCGGGGTAGTACCTTTCTTTTTCATCTTTTCTTTCTGGAGTATGGTCAACGGTCAGCTTCATGGGTTTTCCTTTTCTGCACAAAATAGCCCGGCTGTCCCCAACACTGGCTACAACCAGTTCAATACCATCTCGCAATAGGGCTACTGTCGCAGTAGTCCCCGAGGTCAGAAGGGTTGCTACGAATATGATGAAAAAGAGTGCAAGTTAGTGACAGTCAAATGATTGGACGTGGACTTTTTCTTACAAAATAAAATACAAGCATGATAAACTAATGCCGGAATGTATCGTTCTAATTGAACTAGAGCTATGCGAAGAAAACGCAGATGAACTATGTAAGTAACAGCATGCAAGGAAACGAGTATTTAATTCTGCAGCAAGGCTCCATGCAAACAGAAAGGGTCGCTAACCTAATTTGGTAAATAATGCATCACCGTCTCCAAATGGCCTCTATTTATGTCAAACAGAGCTGACTTGAACTTATAATGACACTTTCGTGTGTATGTCTGGTGTCAAGACTGAAAGTATTAAAATTTAGTTAGACTGGTTATTACGGCCGGATGACTTACGTCTATTGAGCCCTTCAGGTAGCTGACTTCTCTATAATCTATAGATTTAGAAGGTTTTCTCTTCCACTTCTTACTTCTGTCTTGTGAAAGTATTATCAGTTCATAGGCCAAGGGCATACTATTTGCTCTTCAAGGACTATATTTTAATGTATTCTTTTCTTTTTTTTTTTTTGAGACAGAGTCTCACTCTTTTGCCCAGGCTAGAGTGAGTGCCGTGGCGTCAGCCTAGCTCACAGCAACCTCAAACTCCTGGGCTCAAGCGATCCTCCTGCTTCAGCCTCCCGAGTAGCTGGGACTACAGGCATGCGCCACCATGCCCGGCTAATTTTTTCTATATATTTTTAGTTGTCCAATTAATTTCTTTCTAATTTTAGTAGAGACGGGGTCTTGCTCTTGCTCAGGCTGGTTTCAAACTCCTGAGCTTAAACAATCCACCCGCCTCGGCCTCCCAGAGTGCTAGGATTACAGGCGTGAGCCACCGCACCCGGCCTTAATGTATTCTTTTCTTCTACAACTCTTTCAATTTTACAAATGTTCACCAAAAATTCTAAAATGGTTAAAAGCTCACTTTTTCTCTGTTTATCTTTGTCCTCCCTAAGACATGAAACAAAGTTACAGCCATCATTATATTAGCTGAAAATTTGTGGGGTGGGGAATGAAATTCAGTCTATTCATAGTTTCTCACAAACTTGCTGGAGTTAACACTCTTAACTGCAGAAAGATCTAACACAAAGAGTCTGTATCCAAATGTAGGACATTACTGCCAACTGCTACTCCTGTCGTCCTGCCTGGGCCCAGAACAGTGAAAGAATCTTCCTTTTCTCTGACTAATAACAAATAAAATTCAATATTACTGGGCTTGAAGTCGCCACTATTTGCTCCATCCAAGTCAAATTGCATTTTTGCATCTTCCTGTGATTCTCACAGAATCTGTCCTAAGTACTTTACCACTTGCTAAAAATTTTTACGGTGCATTGAGCCTTGCCAAAAGTGAAAATATTGTGAAATTATGGGATAAAAAATAAAGCAAAGTGGAAGAAGTTGAAAAAGATTTAAAGCAGGTATCTTCTCTAGTAACATTGTTAATTCTTTAAAACACCTAAAATAAAATATTCAGGTGATCATCCAAAGAGGATTTTGAATTTATTTAAAGTGAAGTGCTACTGATTTGACTAAATCTTTCCAAGCCTTTTTTTTTTTTCAAAAAGATAATTTTAAAAACTTCAGTAATGCATTGGAAAGAGATATATACATATATAGATTTTCCAATCAGTATATTAAAATGCCTGCTTTAATCAGTAAAGTAAAATGGAAAAACACAGATAAACTCTACTTAATCTTTTATAGGCATGCTGAATTTACTTTCTTGAGAAATAGCATTTGTAGTTGTACTATCTTCCCATTTATCTCTTGATTTTGGAACTGTCATGCCAAAGTAATAATATCTCCCCAACACTGAAATATATATTTGTCATTATATAACATAATGTTTTAGTGTATGTATCAGTGATTTTTGTATTATATATTTTTTCTTTTTTCTTCTTTTTTTGTCTCTGGCCCTTGATTCAGGATATATTGCAAATATTAACTCTTAACTTTAGATTACCCAAATAACTATATAATAATGTAATCTTTATAGTCATAATATTTTCAAATGATTTAAAGAGTCAGGCAAGAAAACACAGGCATTTATTCAGATGCTACCTGTCCAGGGAATTTAGTATTCCCTCCTTTTGTTTAAACTGTCAGCAATAGCTTTTTAAAAAAGTGGCTTACAACTGGCCACAACCAAAGCGTTAAAATTTCATGAGTGAAAGTTTAGTTGGTTTACGTTTGTAATTCATGGCTCTGCTATGTAAGAATTTAAAAGAGCTTGATTTTTCACCAACCCAACTTCACAGTTCCAAAATTCCAGGATTTATGGGAAAGTTTTCAAAACTAGCTGTTGATTCTAGTGTGCTAAGCATCTAAGAAACATAAATATTAAATCAGCATTTATTTTCATTTAACATTTATTAATAACATAGAAGTAAAGATTCTCACTTTTTGCCCTAGTAACAAAACTATAAAACTAAGATATCTTTCAATAAGTTCTTAACACTCACTGGACAATTTCTACTGCAAGTCATCTCAACTAATGGGACAAAGAGGATGAGGGAACCTTCCAGTAGTCCAGGCTAGGAACCGCCGGACTCCTTCACCTGGGGCAAAATTAAGCAGACCTCTCTTTCCACTGAAGCCCAGCATATAGTGTCCACGGGCTCCAGGTCTAGAGCTGCTGACCAGGCACAGATCTCTGCCACAAATAACACGCACAGAGGCAAATAGGAAATTCACCCAGGAACTGTGCTCAAACATTACAAACCTGCAACACAGGGGAGAGCAGAGAAAGAGCTGCAAAATAAGGGCAAAATAAGGGGAAGCGTTTTTATTTTGGTGAAAATCTCACTAGCAAATGACATAATATTCCAGGAGATGCCAAATCAACGACTCTAAAACTCAATTTGCTCCAGTTCGTGGTATTTTGTAGTTGAGTGGACTTTTTTTTTTTTTAAATCAGAGTAACTCTCCTTTCTTGGTTTTATGGCTTCCAAGGTAGGACAAAACCATGCACAAACATATTTGTACTAGAACACTTAAGGGGTGACACAGACACACACCTATTCTCTCTCTCTCTCTCACACACACACTGACACACACAAACATACACTCAAACAGTTGGTCTTAAATACAGCAAATCAGTACCCACGCTGAGCTGAAAAAAATGCACTGTAAATTTGTCTGCAATCCCAGAATTGTCCCAATAACAAAAGGGTAAATCCATGGTTATAGCACTGAATGATTTGTATCTGACAAGCAGTACAGTTAGAGAGAATGTGAACTACACTATACCACCAAATTACCGGGACTTAAATATATACCGAGAAGGCATCAAAGCACCTCTACCACGGTACAAGGAGTAAACACATTTGTTAACACTGCTTAATGCAGAGATTCAGCATCTAGAAGGCATTTTTTGAGTTGAATGATTCAATGCATTGTTTAAATAAAGGCTAATAAGGCTCTTGAGCGCTAATGCATGTTTATAACGTTATATGTTTCACAAAACAGGTATTTCTGCAGCTCTCTCTTTCCCTCAGTGTTGCAGGTCGACACATCGAAAGAAAAATGATCATGATTGTGAATGGCAACATAAAGACTAAAAGCTGTACTTTTCAAAGCATAACGACCCCTGATAATTATTCGGCTGTGAAAATAATAATATGTATAGACCAATACAGTTTCAATTTTTTTTTTTTTTTTTTTTTGAGACAGAGTCTCACTGTTGCCCGGGCTAGAGTGCAGTGGCGTCAGCATAGCTCACAGCAACCTCAAACTCCTGGGCTCAAGCGATCCTCCTGCCTCAGCCTCCCGAGTAGCTGGGACTATAGTTGTAAGCCACCAGGCCTGGCCTGAAATAGTATATATTTTAAATGCTAATGAGATAACCTGAAGTTCTTTATGTAGATGTGACAGCTTTGGAACTGAAGTCCAGAAGAGATAAGAATGTTTTATTTTCACTTAATTTCTCTTAAGAAAGCTAATACGGTGTGATTGAGGGGCACTTCTCCCATTTATACCTAAAACTTACCATTAGTGATTCGTTCCTATGGTTTAACCAATCCCTTTTCAGGTTTCTCCTCCTTAAAATTCAAATCTACTCAGAAAAGACAACTCATTAAAATGCCTACATTTTATTAATAATTTAGTTAAATCAGCTATAGGATAATCAAGGAATAAATTACAATAACTTCAGTGAGAAAGAGCAGGCAGTGCAGATTGGTTCAGTCCAAATAATTATTGAGAACCTTCCAGATTCTATGCAGGGTGCTGCATACTAGACATTCAAAAATCGATCTCGATCTCACAGGAAGGGTTCAAGAAGAGAAAAATGGGATTGATGCCAAAAGAGAAAAGATGAAAGACACTAGAGAAGTTAAACTGCTTGCTCCACAATTTTGTTTAGCTAGCACTGGTTCTACAAACACACACACACACACACACACACACACACACACACATACACACACACACATGCATGCATGCATGTATAGATGCCAAAAAGAATATTCTCTATTCTTATAATACTGATACTGATTCAGTTCTTCCTAAAAACTAAAAAAAAAAAAATTAAATTTAAATAAAAAACTTTGAAATCTAAAATAACATTATTTTTTAAATCCGCAAATTGAAAAGTTAAAGAACACAACATTCTAACTTTAGTAGCTTTAATAGATTTGATAAAGTAGGCTCCAAATATCAAAAAGCACTTTTTGCCATCTTTGAAAGCTGTGGCAACTTATTAAGAATAAATTTTTAAAATGTTCTCAAAACATTAATTTAAACAAACACAGACTAATGGACTCATAAGAATATTTAGAAAATATGATTCGATAACAATATTATAATAGACCTTTTTTCTTTTACTAGCACACTAAGCATCATTCCGTCTTGCTTCATTATACTGTCAAACAGATGATCATTAAATGAAAAATAAATTTTCATATATCTTATCGAAGTTCTGGGATCATTGCCTCAAAGCATATGACAGAGAAACTAAATCAAATAACACATTTTAATTTCATTATTAGAAATGAATTACATTTTTATGATTAATTTCTTTACATAACTGTTTTTGTGACAAAGATTTAGGAAGTTCAAGATAGGCAAGTTCAAAATTCCCTTGAATTATAACTGATTATTAATAAATGAAAGGAGTCCTCTCATATTTTACACCAAATCTATCAGTGATTATTTTAAGGATGTTACATTGATTAGATCGTTTACAAAAAGGCTGACTGCGCCCATGAAGGGTTAATGATTTTGGTTGTTGGCCACAGGCATGCGATAAACTTGGACATTCTCTTCTGAAAAGCTTGCCCAGCAAGTTACAGCTGTCCACAGTTGAGGCACATCACCTGCACTACAGCCAAAAAACACTGTGGTGCGAGATACAGCCAAACTCACAGCCAACCTGGTTCTGGATAAAATTCAGGACGTTATAAAAATAAAACTATAAGAGAGCATTTTATTTCCTCTTCTCCTTCATGTGTTTTATCCATTGGGAACAAGAGCTAAATCTTATGCATAAAATTTGCCCTCTCTCTTACGTCTCTCTCTCTTACGCTGGGTGCCAGGAAAATCCCAGTCCTAGCTCTGAACTGACCTTAACCACTCTGAGTTTGAGTTCCTCAATCTGTGAAACGGGGAGAACATCCATCCCTATGGACACCAACTGAAAACTGTGCAAATGACATTTCTGCAGTGCACTTTTTTTTTTTTTTTTTAAAGAAAAGGACAAACCAAATACAGATCAAGATTATTGCAGGATTCATTTGCAGTCAGTTACAAGATTTATGTGTATGCATTCATATGGCTGCTGCAGAAGTTTTCAAGTTAAGAGCCAAAGATTTCGGGGCCAGTTAAGTAGAAAACATTAGTTATATTTTCCTGAAATGATTTTGATAAATTTAGTCAGAACCAGAAACATACTACTTTCAAAATTTAAGGACACACAGTGCACAAAATTTAAAATTCAGTTGGCATGCAAGGAGTGCAATGCGCACTACCCGAAGTATGGACATATTTGAAACACGGACTTGGGGGGAGGGGAACCAAGGGCAACACACGTAACCTAAACATCTGTACCCCATAATATGCTGAAATAAAAAAAAAAAAAATTCAGTTGGCATGCCCTTGTGTTTAAAATACCACTAGTTACCATAGGAAAACTGCAAGATTGAGCTTTTTAAGAAATGAGAGAAAAATACCTTCTATCTAATTATACAAATCAATGCATATTAACCATTGTCTTTTCCTATTTAGGATCTATTAGCAATTTTCTTCTTTTTGGACAATTACTGTCCTAGCTAGATGTGTTTACCCCTAGTGTATTTCTGTACTCGATCATCAGATTCATCTCTAAAAAACCAAAAGAAAAAAAACCTTAAAATTCACAGTATGGACATCTTGTCCATAAAATGAACAGATTAAAATTTTTTTTAATATTTTTAAAATTAAAATCCAATATCAGAACTATTTTGGAGCTTCTCTTTCTAAAAAATTCTCCAATATATTTCATTTAAAAGTAAACTACTGACATTAGTTGGGATTTCTAACAACATTTAAAGGGATTCTTTATACAATATCATTTCTACATAAATCCTTACAAATAAGTGTACATTAAAATCCCCTCCCTCCAAAGGCTTAAATTGTTTCCCTTTTATTCTGCCCTTCCCCTCCCTTAGAAACCTCAGGAATGTGATTGTTGTACATACCATCAGCAGAGAGGTGGGCATGACTTGAAAATGCTTTATCTATTTCTAGAAAAGCCAAGGTCAACACAGTTTCCAAGTCCTTCTCCTTAGGAAGCAAATCCCTTTGTGGGGAGGAAAAAAGAGCCGCAAAGAATAATTTTACAATAGGTTTTTTTCTTCGCAATCACTCTATCTAGCAGTCATTCTACACGATGGACCTGAAGACTTCCCTGGCAGATGCTGACGGTTCACTGGTTAAGGAATGCTTATTGAGCATCCACTAAGCATCAGGCTCTGTGATAAGCTTTTAAGGGCACAAAAATAAAAGTACAAGTCCTTGTCCTTAAAGAATTAGTCCTCACTACCACAACCCTGAGAGGTCAAGAGCTACGTCACATTAAGTTAAACCACTGAGTTACTTTTGTGGAATGAGATGAAATACGCATAAATCAACGATGAACAGTATAAATAACTATACACAGGAAGACAAGACATAGTCATATGGTCATAACTCTGTCACATGTTTCCCCTTCTTTTAATTCTAGCAGTAATGTGATCCTTAAAAATGCATTAATAATTGGGATAAACTGTTTAAATGAGCTCCAAAACATCTGCATGCAATGCATTTTCCCCACACTAATGTCAATCGTCCAAAGCTATTTTCAACAAGTCAAGTATTCAAAGCGTAATTCATACCACTTCAAAGAGTAATAGCCATTTACTGAAGCACTTAACTACATACGTGTCCTGCACTTTTAGGAGTAACGGCTTCTCATAGGCTATCTCATATGCTCTATGCTACTTCACTTGAACACGAAGCAAGTGCTGCAGATTGTGGCCAATGCTTTCCCCAGGGAGGTTGTTAAAACCCACATTTCTGAACTGGTAATAACCGTCAGGAATCGATGACATGCTGAAACTACTGCTCATTCAAGAAGGGGCCCCATGAAAGCACTCGAGTATGGACGTTTACGTTGCAAGTCTCAGCCGAAGGGTGACACTTTAAACCTCAAGCGCGCGGGCGCTGCAAGGTCAAGAGCGAAAGTCGCTGTACGTACATGATGCATTGCTCCATGTGGGTGTGGCAGAAATCAGCAGCCGCAGGGCCGCCGTGGCCGTCATACACGGCGAAGTACAGGACCTCGTCTGTCAGCTGGGCCGAGTCAAAGCGATCTTCGTTCTCCTTGCGTTTGCCGATCTGCGAGGCGCAGCCCACGTTCCCCAGGCTGATTTTGGGGATCGGCTTGCCGTACTTGATGCTGGGTGGCAGCAGAATGGGCTCATCGATGCGGTTATCCCAGATCCCGAAACTGTCCCAGGTGGCCGGGCGCCCGCTCCCGTCGGGGTCAAACCGAGAACACCTGGGCTCGGAGGTGGAGCCGTGGCACGTGGGGGGGACCCGCCTGTCCTCCTGCAGCAGGCGCGAGCTGAGCAGCACTCTCCGCCTCACCTGGCTGCCACCGCTTCTGACCAGAGTAATTAAGGCAGCTGTTGACATACCGCAACTCCAAAGGCAGCGGTGGTGACCGGAAGGTCGATGGAACCACACAGGAAAAACGATGCAACTAGAGAGAGGGAGAGAGAGACAGACTCTTCATCAGTCATTTTGAATATAACTGATGTATCGTCAGATATTACCAAAAAATGAAGGCCCTAGGGATCTGCCAGAAAACATACATTTATGTCACCTATTGGGTAGACACCCAACAGCTACTTCTAAGAACAGTGTATGGAAAATGAATCAACTCACCTATCCTATTCACAGTGTTTAAATTCTATAAAAATTGGACAGTGTATTTACATATATAGAACATGTGCCTCTCAAACTTGAACCTGCAACCTGGGAGCTTGTTAAAATGCAAATTCTGATTCCGTCCATGTGGGGCGGAGCCTGGGAGCCCGCATTTCTAACCAGCTCCCTCGCGGTACCAAAAGTGCTGGTCCGGAGGCTACACTTTGAGTAGCAAGAACATAGCATACTGGTGTAAACAGACAGTCTTTCCTCCATGAACCCCACTGCGCTGAAGAAAAGCTAGGAGCACATATTAACAATAGCAAAAATCTCTTAAGAGAGAGAAATAAAAAAAAATAAAATAACTGGTTAATAGAATATTTACAATAGTTCCGTACCCAAAGAGTGGTCGAGTTTTAGCAAAGGCGTACTGTAGGGTTTAAGTTTTGTTTTAAGATTTCTCAACTTACTGAACTTTGCATACGGTATTACCATGATTGATTAACGTAAATTGGTTCATGCCAACACCCCCACAACGGGCACAAAGATAAAAGCCAGTTCTGAGGCTTCCCTTTGTGGCAGACACTCTCCTGGGGAGGGTGTGTGGGTGTGTGATCTCGGGAATTTGGCACTGCCTTTGTGACAAGCAGCCCAGATTTATGAGCAAGTGATCTGTGCACTTACCTTACAGCTACAGCTCTCCCATCCCCCATCCCAGCAACACACATTTGAGACTGCACTTCCTTGAAACTATGACCCCTACTTCTGGACCGCACCCTAAAACTGAACCCCAAAGCCTCTCTTGGCATTACAGGGTGTTTTCAGGGGGAATTCCTACACTCTCGCAGGAACTGTGTTTCTGGCAGTTTTCCATATAAATAAGATTCTAAGCAGAAATTCATCTGCATGGTATTTTGTTACTTTATGAATTAAAAATAACTTGAGGCCGGGCGGGATGGCTCACGCCTGTAATCCTAGCACTCTGGGAGGCCGAGGGGGGCGGATTGTTTGAGCTCAGGAGCTCGAGACCAGCCTGAGCAAGAGCGAGACCCCGTCTCTACTAAAAATAGAAAATAAATTAATCGGCCAACTAAAAATATATAGAAAAAATTAGCCGGGCATGGTGGCACATGCCTGTAGTCCCAGCTACTCGGGAGGCTGAGGCAGAAGGATCGCTTGAGCCCAGGAGTGTGAGGTTGCTGTGAGCTAGGCTGATGCCATGGCACTCACTCTAGCCCAGGCAAAAGAGTGAGACTCTCTCTCAAAAAAAATAAATAAATAAATAACTTGAAAAGAAGGCACAATGTTAAGATTTGATAATGCTGGTAGACAGTATAGAGGTGTTACATTAGTCAGAATTGTATAGTTGAATCATTTCATAATAAAAAAAAAAATGACCTTGAAAAAAATTTATCTTTCCAAAAGGCATAAACACACACACACACAAAGCCCGGCTTGAATGCATCGATGAGAAAATGCATTACAGATTTCAAACAATCAATTTCAAGTGAATTTTCGGAAATCAGTCTAGCTGTGTGTAGGAAGGGCTGCTATATCTTTCAGTGGGCAAAAGAGTCAAAAGAAAGAATGAGGTTCCAGAAAACATCCTTAGATATTTAAGCCGTAAAAAATATATGAGCCCGGCCTTCATGGAATTTAGAATAAAGATGGACACTAAAACAATGCATCATGAAAGACATAGGAAGCCATCCCTTCTTGGTCTTTTGGCTAAGATCCTGTGTAGAAGGCTGAAATTCACTTCTTTATAAGACAATATTGGGGGTGGGGGAGAGACACAGCACCTCTGGTTATTGAAGAGAAGTAACATACTCCATTACAAAAAAAAAAGGTGTTTGTTCCTTTGCTTTTGATTGGTGGTTATATTTTATTCAGCAACAATATGTCAAATATAGGTGATGAACTGAGAAATTTCAAACTATAATGAAATCTAGCAGGTAATAAAGGTACTAATTATTGATAGAGATAATTCCCAAAGCAGCTTAATACCACATAGAAAAAAAAATTTAAACACATACATCTATTGGAAAACACATTCATACTTGAAAAGTGAACTAGAAATTAACAAAGTACAATCCTTTTGGCTTCTGTCTGAAAGCAAGCCGTATTTAGCCTTGGGCTACTTTGCAGTCATGCACCTACTTTAAACAAGAGTTCTGGAATTACAAACAAATAAATATTAAATAAGTTTTTCTGCAGCTCTTCTAGTATATTCTTGCCTTTCTTTCCTCTCCCTGAACTAAAAACTTTTTTTAAATGGTAAAATAGAACTGCATTCTCAGCAGTGAACAAATCTCCACTGGAAACATTTTTAAAAACCAGATAAAATGCAAGTTGGGCACAGTTTCTATAAGCCTGCATGGACTAAAAGCAATCATCCACCTGGCCTCCTTCCTCATGTGTTATCTGCGTAATCATCTCACAAAGTAGGCATAACAGTCATAGGAAAACATTTACTTTAAAGGCATATTCTTGGCAGAGATGAAATGTGACCCAGATTTATAGCTGATTTATCAAAAAACAAAGTAGGTCAGCATCACTTAGGCAAACAGGAGACATTAAGTGGTTCCATTTCCTTTTCCATCTGCAATATAGCTACATCCTACCACTCCCTTCCATATTCCCAAGAAAACAATGCAGAGGCAACTGGTGTTCCCAAACTAAGTAACAACTTTGAGTTAAATCTGCGCATCAACACGTTTCCTCCAGAGCTTCAAAATGGGAATCTGCCACCATAGGCCCCACAGCTCTCCAGATGTCCATGGAAATGACAATGCACTAACAGGCAAGGGGAGTAGGATTTGCGATGTGAAAAACCTTAAAAGAAAAAAAAGCAATCGGTGTTCTCTAGAACAAAAAGAGTGAGAACAAACTGACAAACACCTAAGAACTGTCTTCATTCTTTCGTTCAGTAATTATGAACTGGGTTGAGTTTATCATTCTGCAAACTAAGAAACACAGCCAGAAACCTTTTCTGAGTAGGCAGGGGAGATTTATGTCAATCTTTCAAACAGAAATCAAGGGATAGCTTATTTTTACAAAGCATTTTGGCAATTATATTCAATCGTTTGAAGTCAGGGCATCTAAAAGGGAAGCATTATCTCTGGCAGGAGACTGCACTGGGATTTGAGAGATTTGAGTTAAACTGCTCACGAATGTTGAAAGCAGGTCAAAGAGGAAGTTTACTTTGTCACTTTAAGCACATGCCAAAATTATTCAGGACTTCTAAAAATCAATATTACAGAAATCTGCTTAGATTTCATACCTGTAGAAAAAAATATTTTAAGAAAGTATTCCTATCTGCCCATTATAAAGTGGCAGTCGGGTATCTTATTCTTTTTTAAAATTTTCTGACAAAAATGGCCATTCAGAAGTACTTGGGTATCTTTATATCAGTAACTTCCACAATGAAAACACACAGAAATTTTTAATATTCTTAAGCCAAATATTTCCTTATCGACCTTTAAAAAAAAAAAACAAAAACAGCCAATGCATCCCAATAAACTGAAATGGTATGGAAACTTCCAGAATGTGTTTCAGCAAATTCAGACCCCAATACCTTCTTTATCAATACCCTGCTAAGAGAAAGGGAAAGAAAATTTACTAGTCTACCTGAGGAAGAAAAGAAAACAACCCCCCAAAGGATTCGCCTCAGGTTTGATGTGAATTTGTGTATGTTTAGATGTGTGGAAGGAGAAAAGAACATTGAGCAGTGAAAAGTAGGCATTACTCTAATTCCCTAGATAGCTCTTAAAACATTTTGGCTAAAATGTGTACAAGCCACAGACCATATTTTAAATCTATAAATTTATTTTGCATTTAAAAAGAATTTTCCTTTACATTCTAGATAGTCTATCACCAGCACCTCTCCCCTATTCTTTCCTCTTCTCTAAAGATTCCAGTCAAGGGAGATGTCCGTGTGATCTGTAGTTAGTAACAAAGGTTGCAAGAAAAAAACCCATTAGTTAGAACGCACACTACTCAAAGATTATAACTAAGGGAGGCCAGTGGAGCTTTCCAGACTCCAAATGCCCTGGCTGTTTCCACTTGGAGCTCCGTCTTTGCCACCTCCAGTTTATTCTCTCATCTACAGAAAGCGGCTACTGAAAAAGACATCACCGGCCACAAGGCCTCGAGATGACAGCGCTCTCCTGGCAAAGCAAAACCTCAAGGTAAACCAAAGCCTCCGATCAAAACCAGCCAGGGTTCTGCATCCTTCTCTCTGCCGATCTCCTGAAAAGCTCGCCTTTGGGCAGTTCAGGATCCCGGGCTCGGTTCCCCGGCAGTGACAGATGCGTGGCCAGAGCGACACTCGGCGGGAAGAACGCCCGCCCACCCGCGGAGGACTGGCTCTCCCGGCACCCTCCGCCGCGCGGTCTCCGCCTCCCCGCCGCCCTCCCGGCGCTCAGACGGCGGTGTCGCCACGTCTCCCTCTCGCGGCTGCGGCGCAGCGCAGACCCCTGCAGCATCCTCGCGTCCCCGGCTTCAGGGACGGAGCCTGCGGGGCGTTGCTGCGGGGAAATGCGGGCAGCCGCTCTCCGCCCCAGCCTCTCGTCCTCCGCCGGGTCCCGGCCCACCCAACGTGCCCGGCGGGCGCGGCACACGCCCCCAGCGGGCGGTCAAGTTCAAGGCCGAGCGCCGTCGGGCGCAGCCGCGGTGGACCCCACCCCGACAAGCCGCTGCAGACCTCGCGGGGAAGAAAGCAGCGCTCCGAGGACCCAGACACCGCGGCCGTGGGGGCTGGGGAGCCCAAACCTCATTTCCTCTGCGCCTCGCGGGAAACCCTGCTCCGTGTACTCTGCATTCCGGGGACCGCCACTACATAACCTTGCGAACGGAAGAAATAAATGAATCGCACCCTCTAGGCTCTTACCTCGTGATGGTTATGTCCTGGAAATGTTTTAATTAGCTAACGGCGGGCAGGGGAGGGGCTTCCTCAGTCGGTCAATAAGACTGCCTTCCCCGCCGTCCCGGATCCCCGGAGCACGCAGTCAAAGCGGCCACCGCCTCGGCTGCTGGAAATTCGCGAAAATTGTTCGCCCGCAGTTGGCCAGATGGAGAGGGGGAGGTCCGTGCCCGCTGACTGAGGGACGCTCCGGCCAATCGGCGCGTGGCAAAGAGGCTCGCCCGCTCCCCGCCCTCGGCGGCAGCCAATCACAGGTCTCGCTGGGAACGAGCCTCCCTGCGACTGCGACTGGACTTCGCAGACTCGGAGCAGCGCTCGCGAGCGACGTCGGCGCCGGCCAGTAGCGGCTCGCGGTGGCGCCCCACCCCGCTGAGGCGGCGCCCGGGCCTAGGAGGGGGCGCGATCCGGCCGGGGTGGGGCCGGGAGACGTGGTACCCCGTCAGCCCGGTGTCGCTTCGGGCAAGGTCGTGACACTAGGAAACCGAGGAGGGAATGCCAGCTCTGCCTGGGCGAAGAGCTTGAAAGACATGTGGTTTCGTTGCTATTTCTTTGAAACATTCAGTGCAGCATTCTTCATGGCTGAACAGGCATCTTGTGATCCCTGGGGAATGTGGATTCATTCATTCAACAAGTATTTCTATGTTTATTGAAGGACATCTTGTATGCCAGGCACTCGCTAGGCACTGGGGGTACACTTCTGACCCAGACAGACATGACAGCTGCCCTCGTTGAATTTGCAGTCTAACAGGGGAGAAAGGGAGAAAACCAACAAGCAAACAAGCACATGAAATAGTAACAAATCATGTCAAGGGAGGAAACAGACAAGGTGTGGATATAGAGAACGGGGGGTTGACTTTAGATAGGGCTGTTATAGGAGAACTTTATAAGGTGGCGTTTGAGCTGAGTCACTCATTCAGCCATGGAACCAGCACTGGTTTCATAAATTCAATTGATGAATTGTTCTGGCCAGAGCGGGCAGCACACAAAGTTCCTCAGGTGGGACAGCTCAGCATCTTGGAAGAACAGAAAGAAAACCAATGTGGCTCGAGCCTAAGGAGGGGGGGAAGAGCAGAACCCCGGAAGGTAGAAGAGGCAGGCAGAGGCCTTGGAGTTTGCATTACATTTAAAATTGAATGGGCCTCAGCAGAGGCTTTTGAAACAAAGGAATGAAAGGACGCGGTTTAGATTTTATGTCACGTGGGTTAACGTGTGGAGAACAGGTAGAACAGGATATTGGGAGACTGGTTAGGGGAATATGGCAGATGTAATCTAACGTGGGAGATGACGTGGATTAAATTACAGTGACTGAAAGGACGGCCTTGCAAAAATAACAGGAAAATACCTAATCCCGAAATTTCCTAGTAACAGTTAAAGATCAATCCTATGAGTTCTTCCACTAACAGGCAACCCGCAGGAGTTCTGTTTTGCACAACTTCTGAAAAGAGCTGAGATCGAGAAGAGATGTGAATCTTTCTCTTTAAAATTGTTTTTTGAGAATCTGCTTTGACAGTTTCTGAGTAAACAGCAGGAGAACAGGCTACAGAACCGTATCTCCCGGATAATCCCCTCTCCAAGGAAAGGTGGGGAAAACAACTCTTGGACTTTGACATCCTGCCACGCTTTTGCTATCAATTGACAGCCATCACTATTTGTTTCTCTTTGTCCCCCTTAAAATCAGCCAACCACTTGGCCTCAGCGCTGGCACCCCCTTCTCTTTCTTTGGGATGCCAAACAGTCTCCCTGCTCTCTCTCTCTCTCTTTCCTCTGTCTCTCAGTCTCTCATTCTCTCTCTCCTTCCAAAAAGATAAAATAAACTTTTTTACTTGAATATATCCTAATCTCTGCGTGAGAAACTTTTCTCCACCTGAGCTGTGAACCCCTGCTAGGCTTTCCACCCTAACAGTGATATATCACTGAGCGGAAAGAAAAGCAGAGTGATTGGAGATTTTAAAGGTAACTGATTAACTTGTTTTGACGTTTTAGGTTTTTGGGTCCAGGGACAACTGTTCTGAATCCAGTGCATTTAACAATCTGATTACAGAGTAACTCTCACTTGGATGGCTCACAAATTCTAGCAGTGACTGACCTTGAGGATTACTATGTTGGACTGACATTGAATTTTCATGGACTTTCTGGAATTTTCTTCTTTTTTTAACTTGTTGTTGGAATATAATAATATACATACAGAAAAGTGCACATATTCCAAGTGTACACAGCTCAATGAATTCGCAGACTGAACACACCTTTGTTTCCAGCACCCAAATCAAGAAACAGAACATTATTAACACCTGGGAACCCCACCAATCTGCCTTCCAGCCACTGCCTCCTTCCAAGAGTAGCCTCTATGTTGACTTTCAACAACATAGTTTTGCCTACCTTTCTACTTGGCATATATATACATATATACACATATATATATAGAAATATGTACACACACCTAT